ACCATAGACCTACGGCCGGCTGTAAGATTTCCAATAGCTTCTATAGCCGGGTACACAATTTCTTATAGCCTTTCATAGCCGATGGCGATTAAGTAACAACCAGACGATAAAGTTTATGCTAAGCGTTATTAAATACGGATACTAAGACTCAGTTAGTTTTTGGACCTCTGCTCTCTTTTTGGGCCGTAGTATCTTGATTTATTTTGCGAGAAAGCTCCGTACTTTTGATGGATGCCTGCCATTCCTAATATATTAGAGCGCCTTCAGTTTTGTATGATACTGTGCAATACCTCTGGTGTGAAATAGTTGCTTCGAGCGCCGTGGCACGCTGCGGTGCGGCAGGCGGGCAGCCAGCGCGAAACGCGCATTGGCGCCTACAAACCTAACAGGTATACTTCACGCGTTGCGCAATGCGTGAAGTATCCCTGTTAGGCTTGTAGGCGCCAGTGCGTCGCCGCTCCGTTTTGAATTAGGCTCTAATATTTAATCTGGCGGAGTCAGCATTATTTAACTCATGCTTTTGAAATGTTTGCACATCCTACGGATTATTCTCGTTTTAATTGATGAAAAAAATATGTATTAAAGGAAAATATAGCGTGTGTTTTGTAAATATTAAGGTGGTTCCGTATCAAATTTCATGATTTCCAAAGCACACGAATTTCTACACAATTTCTTATAGCCTTTTATAATCGATGGCAAAAAAGCAACAGCCAGGCGATAAAGTGTAAAGCCCGGCTGCATAATGTTTTATCGCTTCGTATAGCCCGGCCGTATGATTTTCTCCGCATTCTACAGCTAGCTATATGATTTTCTGTAGCCTTCTTTAATCGGCTGTAAGAAATTTCTGCGGATTTTCGTGCAAAGTTCAGTGAATAATCTGCATAATACGAAGCAAATTCCTTAAAAGTTTCAAAAGAATCTGCACCAACATTCTCTTGTGAAAAATTAAATTGCTCAATTAAATTTTGCAACATTTGATGTGGCTTGGCTCCTTTCTGCTGAACGCGGTCCGAATGGACGGAGTTAAACAGAAAGGAACCAAGCCACATCGGGATCGAACCGAAAAAAAGAGGTTTAAAATTTGGCTCCTGCATAAGACTCAATGTAAAAGATAAACTTCAAGTTCTGTTTTGCAAAATTTGCTCCAACAAAAACTTTGAATTTTTGGCGATGGATAGTAGAGCAGTGGTTGAGTTCAAAACCACTCATAACTCAATTTTTTCCAAAATGTGGGTTGGTTCCTTTCTGCTTAACTCAGTCCAAATGTCCCTAGTAAAGTAAGTATATAGGTACTCCCTAAACCTCCCTTATTTACCATGTAAACCATATTCTCCTGAGGAGGGGAATCGTTTAAGGAACGACTACGAGTACAGCCCTAAATCCCGAGGATAATATCCGGGTCCCGCAGACAATGCGTGGAGCGAGAATTGCGGAAGGTCAGCGGCGATATTTCGGGGCGGGAGTCCCGGCTCCCGGGATACGGACCCCGCAACCCTTCCGCACCCTCGCTTAACGCCGGCGCACAGTGCACGCAGTTAAAAGGAGGAGTCGGACAAACCCTGGAAACTTTGAAAGCTTCTATTTTCGAAATTATAAAACTTTTTTGGATGGCGTTATTCGGCGGTACGGTACCCTGACCAGCAAATCTTCTAAGTATCGTTAAGAGGCTTTACTGGATGACTTTTTAACTGCTAAACGGAAAATTTCCCACCGGTTATTCGGCGGTTAACTGTACCGCCGAATAACGTTCTAATCGACGGTACCGTGCCGCCGAATAACGTTCCATTCGACTGTACCGTGCCGCCGAATAACGTTCCATTCGACGGTACCGAGCCGCCGAATAACGTTCCATTCGACGGTACACTGGAAAAAAAAACACATTGGATCTAGAGTCCGGACTCTTAAAAACATCGACAAGAAAAAATACTCTTGATTCAATCAGATTTAAGCTTAAATCAAGAACCAAGCCTCTTAATTTGAGCGGATCTCCTTTTGATTTGAGCTTAAATCTGACTGAATCAAGAGTCCTTTTTCTTGTCAATGTTTTCAAGAGTCTGGACTCTAGATCCAATGTGTTTTTTTTTTTTTTTTTTTTTTTTTTTTTTTTTTTTTTTTTTTTTTTTTTCAAGTGTACCGTACCACCGAATAACCACTTCGATATTTTTTAACAATTTAATTGCTAAATCAGCAATCCATTTCTTCCGTGTATCACCCCCTTTCTCGCTTGAAACCCCCCACTTTCACCAAGAAGATCGCACCATTATCTCTTTGTCTATCACTGAGAAAAAAAACATTGGATCTAGAGTCCAGACTCTTGAAAACATTGACAAGAAAAAATACTCTTGATTCAATCGGATTTTTGCTTGAATCAAAAGGAAATCCGCTTAAATTAAGAGGCTTGGTTCTTGATTTAAGCTAGATTCTGATTGAATCAGGAGTACTTTTTCTTGTCGATGTTTTTAAGAGTCTGGACTCTACATACAATGTGTTTTTTTTTTTCCAGTGATCGCTTTGTCTGTGGAATTCAATAACGAGCCCGCTGTGCGGCGTGGAGGGAGCCGCGGTGGGCGGGGAAGGGGAACCGTGAAAACCAAGCGGCCGAAAGTAGGGCGCTGAGGCAAAGGCAGTGCCGGGCGCCCTTCGCCCTCCGCGCGGGGCGGGGCGGGGGGTGGCGGGGGTGGTGGCGCGGAGCCAAAAGTCGCGGGCCCTCCCGAGCCGCCCCGGAAACCCCCGAGCGGACGGCGAAAGTGGGACAANCCGCCCCCCCCCCCGCGCTCACCGCCAACCCCGCCAGCATGCTCCCAGAAGCGGGAAATTTGAATTCGTGCGCTCCGGCGGACTCGGTAAATTGTTCTGGCGCTCAGCTGTTACTGGTGCTCATAAGCCGCTACCCTAGTAGCATTGGCTATCGTAAAAAAAAGTTTGAAAACTCGCAGGTTTCACTGAAAAAAATAGTTGTGTTCACAGGGCTCCTGCACTTCTTTTGTGACAGTCACAGAGGCTTCTGTTATGAGGACAGAGTACTCTGTACCCAAGACTGAAGTTCGGTTCTCACAACAGAAAAATTCTGGAAGCGTAGCAAAAAAACTGCAGGAGCCCTGTGAACAGGAGGTTCTGTCGTCAGCACCATCTATTTTTTTTTTGTGTTCAAGGATGAAAGAACTGTTAGATTATTCAAGCAGCGGGCTCAATTTTTGTGTGAAAACCGAGTAATTTCATTGAAAGATTGTTCGTCGATCATCTCGATCCTGGTAAAAATTTTGATGATTTGTTCGATTTTCGAAATGACATCGAATCAACTCGGATCCTTGTACGAGTCAGTTTTGACTATAATTCGGTTCATTTGAATCTATTTGGCTCTAATGGCTCCAGTTGACCAAAATACACGATTATTATTGGAAAAATTGACTCGTAAATTGATTTTTGAAGTTGTGAAGTACAACATTTTTGTTAGTAGTCGTATGCAGCTCCCGTGTTACTTTGGTAATCTTTAATTCTTTGGACGATACAAATATTTTAACTCCGCGGATGTGCGTGAAGTATCTCGCCTTTTGAAGGCATTTTTTAATTTGCGGTTGGAAATTCACATAGTTGTCCCTGTTACTTTAGGAATGTCCAGTTCTTCGGGTGATACAAATATTTTAACTCCTGGAATGTACGTGAAGTCTCTCTACTTTTTGAAGGCGTTTTTGTTATTTGATGTTTTCATTATTAGCGTTTGGGACCTCACGTAACCCTTGATACGTCAAGAGAATACCAGAGCCTTCATATGCTATTAAATAGGATCATTATTCTAGAGCTCTCCAGGCTGATTATTGAAATTGATAGACAAAGCGAGAGATAAAGAAGACAAAGAAAAAATGGAGGGATCCTGTAAGTGGAAACGTTTGGTTGCAATGTACAAAGTAGGTGTTGTAAGAAGGTAAATAGACTAACTTACGGCAACCCGCGAGAGACCCTATTGTTAGTCCACCATTTTCCCCATTAGTCCGTAACGTCCACCTGTTTCATCCAATAGGATCGCTTCTTTCCCCTCATTGTCTTCCTCGTGCATTGTTTTGTCTATCAATTTCAATAATCAGCCCTTTGGTCCAATTTTTGTACGATCTTCAGTAAGGAAGAATGAATTCTCCCATCAATACCATTCCCATCGTTATTAACCGTTCAAAGATACAATATTTCTCTTTGAACAATTAAAATCCCGGAGAAGAAGTTAACTTCCAGTGAGGACAAAGAACAGTGCGCTGTGAGGGCATAATTAGAAAGATTACTTGAACTACCCGACAGCTCCTGAAGGGATACGAGAATTCAGGGTATCGCGAGTTGAGATAGTCTATGCACAGTCCCTGCTACTAAAAGCTCTACGTAATGGCTCCATCTGATGAGAAAAAGTTGGCTTCCAGCCCAGCCATCCGCCGCTACAGATGGTTCGTCGGAACGAATATCAACAGATTGGGCGTCATTAGAAGAGGTCGTTACGATACTGACTTATTTTAATGATTTTCTTTTAATGAATGGAGGTAATCAATATACACGGAAATAATGGATTGCTGATTTAACAATTTAATTGTTAAAAAATATGTCCGACATGCTTCAAATATACATTTTATAAAAGTGGAAAGCTACATGTAATTTAACCAAGGGGGTCGTTTTTTATTGTAAAATCTACATTGAAGCATATCGGACACTTTTTTTGATTACAAAATTGTTAAATCGGCAATTTTATTTTTTCCTAATAGATCTTGAACCTTAGATGCTTTTTGACAACCTTTATAATAGGTTTGTTGTTGTTATAGGAAAGGATATTGAGAAGCTATTAAAAGCTCTTGCCTCTCGCAGTAAAAAACTAATATTTTAGAAATTGATAGAGCAGGAAAACAGGACAACTGATATTTATTTATTTTTTTTATTTATATATTTTTTATTTATTCATCCATTTATTCATTCATTCATTTGTTAATTTATTATTTATTTATAAAAAACAGTTATGACTCGCGACGTACAAACTACACAAAATTCATATTTTGCTATAATTCAGAATCAGGATGCTTTAATTTTTACAGATTTAGTTATTGATGAAGATCGTATTAAAAATTTACAGACGGAAAATAAAACAAATAAAATGGTAGAAGTGAAGACTAGACAGACGGCAACGATATCAAGGGCGAAATATTGGAAAAGTGTCGTTTCAGCGGTGAAGGGCCTCAAATGATCAGCTCCGCCGTGTCTTGCAACGTGTTCCACCCAAAAAGTCGCTCTGTCCAAAGCTACCGCGCTGAAATCACGCGATATCGCAGAATGTCTTCTCATGTTCTCCAAAATGCTAGAATCAAATCGAATTACACCGTTGATTACACGCAATGCCGAAAAAACGCGTAAAATACGCCCTAAAAATGCCCTAAAATTGGTCAAAAATTCCCATTTTGTAAAATACACTGGTAAAAAAAACACATTGGATCTAGAGTCCAGACTCTTGAAAACATTGACAAGAAAAAGGACTCTTGATTCAATCAGTTTTAAGCTTAAATCAAAAAGAAAACGCGCTTAAATTAAGAGGTTTGGTTCTTGATTTAAGCTTAAATCTGATTGAATCAAGAATATTTTTTCTTGTCGATGTTTTTAAGAGTCTGGGCTCTAGATCCAATGTGTTATTTTTTCCAGTGTAATTTTCCACGTGGCAAATTTCACTGTTTAAAATTATCTCCAAAAGATTCTCGCTCAGCTTTGCAATTTTGTTGAATGATCAAGGTAGTTTTTGGTGAAGTTTTTAATGCCTCCTTTTTTGTTTGAAAGTAGATGTTTTTTTACGCATTTGCTGTAGTTCAACTGTTAGTGCAGAGTTGGCTGTTTTCCGTTTAATTTATAAAATATTCAAAGGAAAAACCAATCAAATTTCCGCTAACGGTTTGATAAAGACAAATCATCATAACAGGGCCGGATTTAGGGGGTGGCCACATGGGCCGCGGCCCATGGCGGCAAATTTAGGGGGCGGCGAATGTTGTAATTTTTTCAAAAGTAGATATCAAGAAAAATATCTGATTAAAAAAAAAAATTACAAACGAGAAAAGGCGAAAAAATCTCTCATTTCCTGAGAGTTAAAGTATAGTAATTTCCTATTTGTTCGTCTTTCGGTGATACAAGAAGACATCACCTTTCATTAGTCAAGTTGAGAGAGAAACCAAACACGCAATTTCGCCTGGAGCAGCGCGGCGCAGAGAGCAATGATGACGAGGACTTGAGATAGAAAGAAGAAGCCCTCGGCGCGGCGGTCGGCATGTAACACATATTAGCGCCTACAAGACTCCATGAATACTTCACGCATTGCCTCAAACGTAGTGCGGTCGGCAGCGGTTAGCCTGAAACGCGTAGCGCCTACAAGACTGCAGGAATACTTCACGCATTGCGCCGAACACAGTGCGGTTGGCGCGGTGGCGGAAATTAAAATCATTAAACCACATTCATGTTTATTCTTTCATAATTGTTTCGTTCTTTTCTTAAAAATGAAAGGCCTCCTCCACACAGAGATATTTTTACGGAACTTAATTTTCGCCCAAAGTTCTGTGAACTTTTGCTAGTGTTGACAGGGCTTTCACTAAAAATGTGCCCAACACGAGTAAACGCGTCTTATGCACCCCTCCTCCTCCGGCACGTTCACTTGATGGTTTGTATCGATGTTTCAAAACGAATGAGAAGGGGTGGCAAGTATGTAAATCCGGCCCTGCATCATAAAGTTAACTATTGAAAGGTATTAATGGACGAAATCAGAGAGAAACCCAAACTAGGACCCCGAACACTGCCCTTGGGCCGATTTTATCCCTCCAAACTGTGGTAAGCTGTCTCAGTTTGATTATTTTTTATCAAAATGTGACCGGTGACCCTTTGTCTGACTTCATCATGTATACATGTCATTTGGACTACATTTTGAACATGAATCATTCTTAAAAAAAAACAAGCAGTGAACTCCAACACAATGTGTTGATAAGGCGCGTCATTAACTCACACATATCAACCCTTTAGTTTTCATTTACAGAGATTTCAAAATAGGCAAGTAGCACAACAAGAGAATTCATACGATCCAACTCTGAGAGGTCAACGATGCACCTTGACGAGATCGTGTATTGTGAATGTAAAAAGCCATTCGAACGAGTTTAAGTTTTTTGATCTGCCCCAAGCAAAACCTTATCAGATTCTTAAAGAAAAGTGTTACGGAATAATTTAAGCGAAGAAAGGAAAAATTCTGTCGAACTCCTGAAAGATACAGTCGATTCAAAGGTCTTTTTGGGGCTAAAATATCCAAATCACCGGTACCTATTATAAATCCCGATATATTATTGAAAAGAAATTGACTCGATATAAATGCAATTGCATTAAATATGTCTTGATTTTGTTATTTTAAACGTATTTCTATGCAAAGAAGTTCAACCATGTCCATGCTTTATTCATTCATGAATTGAAAGTAAGCAATCTACATCCCGAAAATCTACCGATTTGCCGTAAAAAATTGCAGAAACTTGATATACCAGGTCGATGCACTCACTCGTTGAATTTACCAACCAATTTCGTGGGTGCAAATATATAAAAATCAATATGCCATTGTGATTTTGGGTGCATTTATTTTTCATGAAACAATAATAATTTCAATCCCGAAAAACCATCAATTGTCCGTATAAAATCGAAAAAATCGAGATGTGTCGACTCCCTGACGTGAAAATTAGCTTCTACGTGTAAAAATACTTACACATGGATATGCTGAACAGAAACCATGTGTGGACACACATGAATAGCCCTAGAATACTTTTAAAGCGCCTTTACTTTCCAGAATCTTGACGGAATTTTTTTTTGGCTTAAACGACTCAAGAGACACTGTAGTTAAAAAATATTTAGAATTTTCGATTTTGACACAAAAGAAAATGTTCGTTCAGGCACACCCTGTATTGTATGGAGTATTTGTGTGTCGTAGAGCGCGAGGGAGTGCTGTAAAGCGACTTGTATGTATGTATTGCGCTGGTATTCAATCCTTGCCTTCAGATCAAAATTCTTACAAGGAAGCCCCTTGCAAGAGGCGAATTTTTTGTAATTTCTCCCAATTTTTTCTCCGTTATATAGTTGAATTGCTTGCCAAATTCTGAGGTCAATTATATTTAATTGTAATTTATACATTTCTTTTTTCCCCTTCATTTTATTTTTTGTATGGAGAAGTTTCGTTGATTTCTTCGGATTTCGAATACTGTAACTTCTCTTCTATTCGGCCGATTTTTATGAATGAGACCTCTTTCAATTCGTCTTTGAATGGAGAGTAAGGAAAAAATTGCTAAGTACTCGCGAAACAATTTTTTCGAAAATTTGATGGATCCCAGCGTGGCGGTGAAATGGGTAATTGAGTGAAAGTAATTAGGTCTGACTGTGGCGAGGGCCGCGAGGGTCGCCTTTTGTTCTTCAGCTGGGAAGCGACGCGGCGAACCGAGCCAGGACCGGGACACTACCTGGGTTTTGTGCCTGCCTGTGCACTGTTTCGGCCTGATAGGGGAGTGAATTTCTGTATGGGCCACGGTTAGCACATGGGCTAATGAGTCTCGAGGCTCATCACAGATTGCACTTACCACTATCCTGCTGGCCCTGGCTATCAGAGCAAGGAGTACCAAATTTTGAAAAGGATAACAGGGGTATGGAGATCTGTCAAAGCAACGTTTTAAACAAAACGAAGAAGTGAAATTCTCATTCAACGAATGCCGACCTGATCAGTCATCCTCGAATCAGTTCGCTTGCTTCTGCTTATATATGCATATTTTAAATCAGCGCGTCGCATTCTACGGTTTTTTTAAGAAAAACCAAGTAACGTAGACTCTTGGTATTCATTACACATAAACTAGTGAGCCCCAGAATGAGAAATACATTAGAATCATAATTATTGACGGAGTAGTAAACTTTTTACACGCTTTGGAAGATCACAGAAGTTCGCGGTAGTCACTTTTCGGTAAGGAACTAAGGGACTCGGTTATTGTATCGAGTGGGGGGTCGAAACGATCGCAAAGGCGGTATACTACGTATACGCGCCAACAAGAATAAAAAATGAGTGACGATTGGACTACATTGTGCAATATCAGAAACTACAATTGTTAATCCATTCATAAAATCACCTATCTGCGCAGCGAAAATAATGGCCTTTACGTCGTTTTCAACATGAACCAGAAATTATAGTTCCCAATTACAAAATGCGTTTCATTTAGACCGCGTTAAGCAGAAAGGAACCAAGCCACACAGCACTTGCCAAATTTAATTGGGCAATTTAATTTTTTACCTGCAAACGGTTCTGCGGATTTTCGTGCAAATTGCAGTGAAAATTCTCCATATATAGTTTGAAGAAAATTTCTTAAAAATTTCAAAGGAATCCGCACAGACGTTCTCTCATAAAAAATTGTATTGCCCAGTTAAATTTGACAGTAGCTGATGTGGCTTGGTTCCTTTGTGTTAAACTCGGTCCAGTGCTGAGTATTTTAGAATTTCTTACCTCTTTTCGTACAATACGCTCTCGATGACAGACTTAACTTTATCGAAGGAGTGAAGTTCTTTCGGTAGTAATCTCGCTCCAATTTTGGCATCCACCATTCTCCAAACCTGGAAACGTTGATCGCCATACCACGGTATCCCCACCACGGGAACCCCAAAGTGCACCGCCTCCTGGAAACTCTGGAGACCACCTTGGGTGATGAAGACCCTTACTTTAGGATGCGCTGTTAGACATAATGATGTATGAAAACATGAATGATGATCATGAAAAGATACTTGGAAATCACAAAGAAAAACATGTTGACTATCAAATAATGAAAGGGCATCTAACATAAATATGGCAACTGGCGTTTTTATGTTCCCGAAAAGAATGCACTCGAAGTAGAAATACTTTAACGAGGCCTAAAACACGGATAAATACACTCAAATCCTTCGACTGCGTTAAGCAGAAAGGAACTAAGCCACATCACCTATTGCCAAATTTAATTGGGAACTCTAATTTTTTACATGAAAACAGTTTTGCGTATTTTCTCGCAAATTTTAGTGAAATTTCCCTACGAATGCAAATTTGAAATTTGTGAAATTTTCCTTTGTACGAAGCAAATTTCTCAAATTGTTGGAAGGAATCCGCATAAACGTCCTTTCATAAAAAATTGAATTGCCCAGTTAACTTTGGCAATAGTTGATGCGGCTTGATTCCTTTTTGTTAAACGCGGTCCACTTGTTCAGTAACCACACGTGGAAACAGTATTTCTTTGAAATGACTGTTGGTCCCGTATTTTTAAGCATTTCAATTACCTCTTTCGTCTATTATACCCTTCGAATTAGTCATAATACATAACCACTATCTATAGCAATAGTGCAAATGAGCAAAATCCAGTGGAATTGACTCTGAAAATGTTTAGACAGAGTTGGTGTTTTTGCCATGTGCGTGAAATTCTCATTACTGAGGGGAAAAACGCATTCGAGCATATTTTCCCATGGAGAAATGCTGTTTTGAGCAACATTAGTTACGACCTAGTCTCTTCAAACAGCATTTATCCATGAAGGAATATCGTGCTCAGATGAGCTTTTTCTCTCTATAATGAGAATTTCACTCACATGGCAAAATCACCAACTCCGTCTAAACGACGCGCGCGTCAACGCTACAATCAGTTCATCTAAAAAAGTCCTGAAAAGAGAACTCCTCTCTTGTTCAATGCCATTCAATTTTTTTTTACTTTGCCATAGCTCTGAACAAATTTTTCCACAGATATCGAATTCACTGACTTTGAATCCACAATAGTAGACCCTTTGAATTGTATTCCAATAGTGTGCTCTGAACTCATTTGTAATTTGTATTAATCAGACTTGACTTTTCTTTAGTAGAATTTTAAATTATTGTATGAATATCTGACGTACCTAGAACACTCTCTTGAGGTAACCATTTCCTCGTCAAAATATTGTTTGCAAGGTTCGGAGTACCTTCAGGTTCATCTTTCCATAGAACTCGATATCCAGAAGGCAGCTCTTTAAAGAACCTCAATAAATTGGCCCGAGCTATCTCGGGCAAAGATTTACTTTTGATATTACTTCCAAGACTGAAATAGATGACGCCTTTTTCTGCACCATCTAACCAGTCTTGTAAATCCTGAAATCATGTTTACACAATAAATATAATATAATTCGGATGGATTAAATTATATTCGAAGCTACATCCTCTTTTCATGAATGTCTTCGTTACTAACAATACCTATATTCGCCTTAGATTCAGTAAAAAGTTCAGTACTAAAAGTGTCCCAGTGAATCGGTTAGACCCGTCATTGAGCTTTGCGTACCTAAAACTAAGCTCCGAAAAGCTTGGAAAAAAACCTGCCGGATTTATTTTATCACATTCTGAATAGAAATGACTATCCCGCGGATTTTTTGAGCTAATCTAATTGTAAATTCATTTTAGATAGGTATACTCAAACAGAAAGCTGAGCGTTTCCAGAATTTTTGATCATGCTTTTTTCTTATTTGTAATGCACGTTGAACAGCAATCGGACTATCGGTAATCAAATCATTTATCCTGATACTGCATCTCGATGGCCGACGTGCGAAACCACGTATCTCTATCGCGGTGTATCAAAATTTCCGCTCCTATTTTATTTTTTCGATAAGAAACAAGCTAACTTCACGACTTGAGATTTATACACAATATTTTGCTGATGAAGCGGAAAAATCAAGGAAGTTTTCAAGAAATTACGTTGACTAGTCTTGCTAAGAAAAAATAAAATATGACAAGAAGTATTCTGCGTCACAAACAGAGATACATGCTTTAGAATAATTGAGGTATCGAATTTTGCATGTTGATTAAATGAATTTAATTAAAGAAGAAAGTCTTGCCTTTACACGTTAGTTGTTTATTGTTTCAGTGGATGAAAATTTGATGCACATTTGAATGTATATTGATGCACATTCAGTGGATGCTCGAAATGTACATCCTCTGAAACAAAAAACAAGCAGTAAGCTCCAACGCATTCGCGTCGGAAAGCGGCTCTGGCGACGGTAGTTGTAGTCAAGAATGAGGGCCTAGACACATTTTGTCATTGATGTACAATCCGACAACTGTCGATTCATGTTTTGTAACTTAGCAGATTTACAAAGCCGGTGTATAAATGTGTATTGGCCCTTGAGTTGTTAAAACGTTTACGGTTTCCTTGGTAACCTTTGTTTGCTATCAGTTGATATCGAGTAATATGCCTAGGAAGCTCCAACCACTGCATTCTTCCAAAAAAACCGCGAAAACTTTAAAATTCAAAATTTCAAATTTTGAACGTAAAGTACATTTTTACCATCACGAGATTAAAGCACAGACAAGTTTTGAATTATTGACTGTATCACCATGATTCCAAAAATACACTACACAACATAGCATTGGCTAACAATAAAACAATATGCAATAAAATAAAGTCATGACAAGGTACATAGTCGAAAATGGCGCCGATTCCCATCAACCAACGCGCGGTCTCTCCAATGTAACATGGTCCATTGATACTCCCCAGCTGGGACCGTCCGGAATAGCAGCTCTAGTGCAAGCACCAGAGCCGCTAATAACTAGCGTTTAAAGGCAAGCTTTTTGTCATGGGAACGGAGTTCCCCATGATATTACAATCGTTCCGTTGCTTTCGCAATGGGATTCCCTATACCTCTGCGACCTTGAGCGTTTCGCCCAGTCTCCGATTTTTGGTTGATTTTCCGATGTATCAAAAACCGTTGTATTTTTTAGCCAATCATGTCTCTACGTCAAGTTGTGTTGATT